CGCGTTTTACACACGCGTGTAATTTCAAACTATATGCCGATGACAGGTTTCGTTTGGCGCTTGCGACCACGAAACCGCAGCGGCGCCACCCACTAGTTACGCGTATCGGTATGGGCCATCGTCGTTGACAGTTGCGTCGGTCGTGCGGTGTTGAAGGCTTACGGGTAGTTCGGTCTGGTCACATGCGCCGACGTGCAACCCCAGTCCTGTCATTTTTGTTCCTGGCAATTCCCCAACGAGGACAGCGCCATCAGACTACCGATGTTCCCCTTGCTCCTCCAATGCGAGAGCGCATGGAACGTGTTCTCGCACAACAGTGCGATTCCAGCTTCGAGCCTGCACTCAAGGAGGGACATCTTATCCAGCTGCCTACGGCAAGTCCCGCGACCTTGCCAGCCCAGCATTCTCGGTGACTGCCGCTCAAATCGATGATGAAGGTTTCGATGGCGATGATGATGCTGATGATGATGATGATGATGATGATGACGAGTATGATCATGATGATGATGATGATGATGATGATGATGATGATGATGATGATGCGGCTCATGATAAAGATAATTATGATCATGGTTTTCATCATGACGTTGATGATGATGTTGTTGATGATGATGATGGTGATGGTGATGGTGACTGGAATGGTGGTGGTAATGGTGATGGTGATTATGATGGTGCTGGTGAAGATGATGACGATAATGTTCTGAGGCGAAGAGAAGGAGGGCGACGATGATGTTGATGACTGTGACGGTGATGGTGGTGGTGGCGATGGTGGTGATGATGTTCGTGGTGGTGATGGTGGTTGTGTTGGTGGTGTTGATGTTGATGACGATGATGATGACGATGATGACCACGATGGTGATGGGAGGATGCGGAGGATGCGGAGAGAAGGATGAGATAGAGGCACCTGTACGATAGATGACATGATGATGGTGGTGGTGATGATGGTGTTGATGATGATGGCGATGAAGATGGTGATGAAGATGGTGATGTTGATGGTGATGCTGATGCTGATGATGATGGTCATGATGATGATCTGAGGAGGACGCGGACGAGGAGGACGACGATGTTGATTGTTTGTGATGTTGATTATGATGGTGATGGTGGCGATGATGGTGATGATGCTGGTGGCGGTGATAGTGATTGTGTTGGTGGTGATGATGATGGTGATGATGAATATACTGATGACGATGCTGACCACGATGGTGATGAGAGTTTGCGGAGGATGTGGAAAGGAGGAGCTAGAGAAACAGTGAGATGGATAATATGATGATGGTGGTGATGATCAGGATGACCCGGTCCAGGATGGTGGGGGTGATGAAGATGATAATGAGGAGGAGGGAGGAGGAGCAGGAGCAGGAGCAGGAAGGAAGGAATAAGACGAACAAGAAGGGGAGAGCCGTCACATCTGACACCTTCCGTCTGCACACCTCTCGAAGCGCCCTCGCAGACCTCAGTTGGTCTGTGTTTGAGCAGGCTTGGGTTCTTGTGGCGCAGCCTCGGGGGTCCTTTGCGGCCGTCTTGGGGCTCTGTTTGGGCCGTCGTGGCCGTCTGCGGTGTCTCTCTGGGCCTTCGTGGGGCTGTCTTGTGCCGTCCAGGGGTCTTCTTCGATCGGATTGTGTCCCGAAGGCCCAGAGAGCCCCCCTGGGGCCAGCTTGGGGCCCTCTTGGGTCCGTCTGGGGCGGCCCGCGTGGCAGTTTGAAGCCTGCCTTGAGGCCGTCTTGAGGCCGACGTGGGGCCATGCTGGAGGTCATTTTGGCCATCATTTTATCCATCCCATCGCTCGGACGTGTGCATTTTTCCTCGGCGAGGGCCATCGAGGAGCATTTTGGATCACCATGCGAAGGATACACGCGCGAAGCCGCGACAAAAATGCCCGGGAAATAGACGCCCGAGCGATGGCGAGGGGCAGAGACGGCAGCGGACGGCACGGCCGCGCAGGGGGCAGGCGCAGCTGCCCCTGCCCGCGGGCCCTCCCGCCCTTGCATTGCCCCCTGCGTTGCAGCTCGAGCCGGCGTGAGCCCGAAGAGGCCGGACCGTGGCAGTCCTTTTCAAGCACTATGCTCGGCACGACTAGACGTAAGAGTGACCTTTCGCCAGAGTGACCTTTGATGCGGGCACAGATGGGTCCCCAGATGGCTGAAAGCGGAGCAGTAGCAGCTGCTTGCGCGCCCAGGCTTGGTCCCCCCGCGGCTCCCCAAATGGTCGCGCACCAAAGGTCACTCTTACCCAGGGTCACTCTTGCGTATAGCCGATCGGCACGAGCGACATGGGTACGGAAAGAATGGGCCCAACAGCAGTTCCTGTTCATTTTGAACAGGGCTCTCCGCGCCACCGCGGCCTGTGTCTATTTGAGACAGAAGGCCGCCTGCCCAACAGCGGCCGCTGTTGGTTTTGGGCGAAACTTGTTGTCGGGCATTGTGCCAGTTTTGTCCGTGCCCATTGCGGGCGTCCAAATATGCCGCCGGGCACACAACATGATTTTCACCTCCTCGGGCCCTGCTGAAGGTTCTATCGGGCCGTCTTGGGGGCTTTTTCGCCCGTGTTGGGGCCACCCTGGGCAGTCTTGCGGCCATCTTGCGCCGTCAGGGAGGCATCTTGGTCCACCTTGTTGGCCCTGGTGGCCTGCCGGGTCGGTTTTGGACGCAATGTTGTGCATCGTGGCCGCCTTGGAGGGCGCCAGGGGAGCGTCTGGAGGAAGAGGGCGGTGCCCTGGAAACGACAGGGCCGTTTTTTTTTACCGGTTCCGTTTTGCCGTTTTTTTGCTGGTTCCGACGCCGTTTGTTTACCGGTTCCGTCGCCGTTTGTTGACCGGTTCCGGCTCCGGTTCCAATCCTGGAGCCGTTTTTGTGCCGTTTCCGGTCGCCGTTTTTTGGCCGTTTCCAGTTTCAAGGGACACTTTTTCGGAAACGGTGAAAAAACGGCTCTGCCGTTTCCAAGGCCCACAAAGGGCGGTGCACGCGGAACTCCATTAGCAGATGGGGGATGAGGCCCCTCAGAAGATTTAAGAAGCAAACGTTACCAGGCAGCACTTGGCATTCTGCCACGCCTCAACGTGCCGTTGGGTGCACGGTGGCAGATTGACAGATGTGCCCCCTTTTCCTTGAGCCCTTCGCTGGACCTCTAAATCTGTTGAGGTCCACAAAGAAGTACGGAGAAGGTCAGCACCGGTAGTGACCGCGGAAGGAGATGCCCCGATTGGTGTCGGGAGTCGGGAGCAGGGGCGCTCCTTGGGCACGAGTAAAGTAACCTAGTCAACGGGTTACAGGCGATGAGGCAATTGTTCAGGCTGTGGCCCACCACTTCTGTGCACCCACACGGCACTCAAGCCGTGCATTAGCAAATTTGCACATGTCAGCAGTGCGTCAGTAAAGTTAAGTCGGGCCTGTCCCTCTACAGGAGGAATATTCAAACATAGTCCAAAAATAGTCTGGGGAAGATGTTTTGACTTTTGTTGCCCATTTGGGGTGCATGTTTTGAATATTTTCGTTCGCCCAAAATCCCCCTGTAGGGGGACAGGCCCGACCTAACAGTAAAGGCGAACTTGGAAGGATGGCGATCCCCCAGAGTGAACCAGGCGCGATCCAAGACACGGGGCACTGTGTTTGCCAGCTGAAGGCAGCTGCAGCGACATGCGAAGCAACCCCACGCAACACGCGTGTATGACGGAGTGCCCACGCAGCGCAGGGAACAACCACAGGGGAGGCCCAGCGTCCAGCTACCCCCCCCCCCTCCTGGAAAGGGGGGGGGGCGCCTCACAGGCTCCCCGCCGCTCCCCCCCCTCTTGGGCCGGCATTTTGTAGCTGGGGGGCTTTCGGAGCTTACTCAGGAGGGAAAGAAACACACAGACACAATTCATCGTCGACTCCAAGGAAAATATGCAAAACTATGGGAAGTGGGGGGGAAGACAAAGCCCCCCCCCAAAAAAAATCAGAAACTATGGGGACTGTTTTTATTTGTGTGTATTTATTTGTGTGTCCTGAGGCCCCTTCACTAACCCCCCCCCTTGAGTGGATTTTGTCGCTGGGGGGTCCCCGGCCAGGGGGGCGGGGCTTGGAGGCTCCCCCCCTTTCGGGGCCGGGAGCGCGCCCAGGCTTCCCTTTCCAAAGGGGGGGAGAGAGTTCCGACGCTCCCCCCCTTTGGGTTTTTTGGCGCTCTTTCGATTTTCGGCGCGCCTTTGGCTTTCGGCGCCTCCTTTGATGTTCGGCATCCATTTCGTTTTCGGCTCCGCTTTGGTTTTCAGCACCCCTGGGGTTTCCGTAACTCTTGGGCTTCCGGCGCCCTATTGATTTTCGGCGCGCCTTTGGTTTTCGTCTCCCCTTTCTGTGTTCGGCGCTCCTTCCGTTTTCGGCCTCCTTTTAGTTTTCTGCGCCCATTGTTTTCGGCGCCCCATTGTTTTTCGGCGCCCTTTTGGTGTCGGCGCCCTTAAGGTTTTCGGCGCCCGTGTAGTCGTCTGTGCTCCTTTGGTTTGCGGCGCCCCTTTGGCTTTTGGTGCCCTTCTGGTTTTCGGTGCCCCTTTGGTTTTCTGCGCCCTTTGAGTTTTTGGTGTTGGGCGCCTCTTTGGTTTTCGACGCCTCTTCGGTATTCGTGGCTTCGTTCGTTTTCGGTGCATTGTTGGGTTTTCGGCGCCGCTCTGGTTTTCGGCGCCCTTTTTGGTTTTCGGCGATCCTTTGGGTGTATGCGCCCTTTTGATTGTCGGCGCCCTTTTGGTTTTCGGCGCCCCGTTGGTTTTCGGCGCTGTTTTGGTTTTCGGCGCCCCTTCGGTTTTGGGCGACCTTTCGGTATGTGGCGCCGCTCTGGTTTTCGGCGCATCTTTTGTTTTCAGCGCCCTTTCGGTGGCCCTTGTGGTTTTCGGCGCTTCTTTGATTTTCGGCTCTCCTTTGGTTTTCGGCGCCCTTTTGGTTTTCGGCACCCCTTCGGTTTGGGCCGCCCTTTTGGGATTTGGCGCTGCTTTGGTTTTCGGCGCCTCTTTTGTTTTCGACGCCCTTTTGGTGGCCCGTGTG